TGGGGATTATATCCAAGTGATTTATAGGTACAACAATGTTTCCTCATAGAATTGCAGCTTTCCTACAAGAACCTATGTGTTCGTTGGTCGAGTTGGGTTCGGAACGTCCTGAAAAGCAGCACAGCCAGAAGTCATCTATCCCTCAGTCCGTTCCGAAACACTGAATGGAGAGGTGCTGCAAGACATTTCACTCAGTAAATATTTACAAACATACTTACTATGATGGTTGATAGTGATATTACCGACCTCAAACTTAGCCAATTCACCCAGAGAATGCACAGTAAGGCCTACCCGGGTCATGTTGGCTCGGTTGGTCGTATCGGCGTCGCTACGAGTTGTGAGGAGGGTTTGTCGAAATCAAATATTCTAAATTTTCTGGAGTAGCCGCTTCGCGACTGCACGCGTCGAGTAACGTCAAATAGTTAGGTTGCAAAGTATTAGGCCCTTCTAAGTCTTCTCTTCAAAACCAGTAATCACACAACTTTTATCAACGATAGCCAGTAGTCTTACAGAAGCGGAATCGTTCGACTACTTTACGCTGCAAGTTAAGGTATCTCCTCCACGTGCGGAGGAAGGAGACCCACCGAGCAGAAAGTTCTTGTCAATCACTTCGAATTCACCCAGATGCACAAAAGTTCCCAGATCATTTGGAAGGAATTGACTAACAACCGCGTGGAACCCTTTGTTTGAACAGTAACGAGTCCTCTGTCAATGAACTCCGATAATGCCTTTGCTCCTCTGGAAGGGTCCTTAATCAACTAATCGCAAAACCTGTATTGATAAGAGCGGCTTCGATTCACCTGACAAGCGTTATCATCGCGCAGTGGTTTGGGATGGTGCTTACCATTCGAGTAAAAATAGTTGGCACCCGCTTGGCGTCAAAGTTTTGCCTATCCGTGCATATCAATTATCAGTCTACTTCCTCTTCTTTAAAGATTTGCGGCACCTAACTTGCTTGGGATACGATTCATTAGTGAATGGGGTTAGTGGGAGAGACGTCTGGCTGGGTCTACCCGAGTGCGGGTTGCGATTGATGCCAATGTCTGGCATCGAGATGCTGCTCTCAGGCTCATGCGATGGGCGTCTCTGCAAGATGCCGTATCCATGACACTGACGTCTATTCATTGCAATGGAAGACGTAACAGGGATTGCCTTGTGGAGCGTGTGGGAGCCATTTGTGCTGGTGGCTTCGTGGTATTTTTACCCACTCTGTCAGGAGCTGCGCTGCTGCGTGTGGGTTCGGTAAACCACAGAACACTCCTATTCTTCGAGGTTTCCCCAGTCTCTCGCTTTTCAGATTCCCATACAGTCTGAGCGAGTTGCGTTCGATGCGAGCGCATATTCACATCACCATCCCAAGTGTGCTCGGCAAGAGTGGCTGCAGTAGTTTTGGGCCCTCTCAGAAGTTGATGGGCGAATGGGATTGCGCCATGACAGGAAAGCCACTGCTGCTCGTGATTGTGACGTTCCTCAGTTTACAGGGCTGCCTTTCTTGCCGGTAAAGGGCCTTCCGACTCTCAAATGGGCGGGTAAGAGCACATCCGGGGTGATGCAGCACTAGAACATGCTTTTTGGCGACATTGCCCATAGATTAGACGACTAGAGGACCGTTTCTTCTATGACAACCCTCCCATGCATAATTTTGACAGAGTATCGTTTGGTGGATGAGAACCGTTACATTCGATGCCATGCTATGAGCTTAAAACGTCTGCACAGCTCATGCTAGTGAGAATGTGCATCCATAGTCCCTAGCGAAGGCGAACTCAATTCTCGCAGCATTGTGGTTCCAAAGAATGTTGTTCGCCTTTCCATTGCCACAATTCTGACTTTCAAAGCCGACTATTGGTATACTACGGTGGTATACTATGCTGGATAACTGTTTCGTGGTGGCATTGCGCAGTAGTGTAGAGTGAACGACCAGGAATGAGAGCTGCTCGCCGTCAGAGTCTTGCCAAGCATCTATCACCTATCGATAATCACTCAGCCTTCTCTTCTTTATAGACTTGCGGCACCTAACTTGCACGAAATACGATTCAGCGATGAATGGGGTCGGTGGGGGAGACGGTCTTAGCGGTTCTGCCACGATGCGGGTTGCGATCGATGTCATTGTTCGGCTTCTGATCCTCGCATCTACCGGCCATTCCCCTCGATGTTCCCCAGAGGCTGTCGTCGAAAGAGCACTGCCTTTCTAGCAGTGCAGTAGACAGCTCCGGTGTGGGAGCCCAAAGAGCGGCCAGGAGAAGCCGGTTGCGATGGCCGACGTCTTCCACTTTTCACCCCCCC